GGCAGTATTTACTTTTTCACACTTATTAAATATATTTAAAAATCATTAAAATTGATATCTTATATCAAATTGGAATATATTAAATAATAAAATCAAAACATGTGAAAAACTTTGACTATTAAAATTAAATTAATTTTAAGCATAAGAAAAAATCTTAAAAAATTATATTATAAAACTATATTGTAACAAATATTTTTTAAAAAATAAAATGTAACTGGTCCACCGGTGCGTACTGAAACCCAGTGGATTGGACTAGACAGGAACCCGAATAAAGAAAAAATAAGGACTGAAGACTGGACCCATTAAGGACCAGTGTTGTCCGGTTTTGGCCGATTTTCAGAACGGTCCGGGTCCGGACTGAATAATTCACGCCTCTAATTGTGTCTCTTCTATTTGCCAAGCATAGCCTTTGTCCATCAAAATGAAGCAAAACTCACTTGATTCCCATTTTCATAAAGACAAGCTCGCAGTGAGAAAAAGTCTTCCCCTGACCTTTTCCTCCTCAGATACCCAAGATAGAGGAACCTACAAAAAAGGTTCGTGAAAACCATCTATTACTGTATTATTTACTCCACACTCATTTTCGAAATTACACATGTGACAAGCTAAACCAATTTCAGTGAGAAATCACCTTTCATGTATTTTATGTACTTTATCGGCTTGGTTCGTATAGCATTAGGACCAATGTAATGGGATAACTCGGGAGTCTTGCGGTGCTTCGTTTAAAAAATTGATGATTCCTACATTTTACCCCTCCTAACCTCCTCCCTGCCCGACCCCCGACCATCCCTACCTCCTTCAATTAAACCCCACAAATCTAAACCACAAATTTTGTGCAAGTGAAAGTAGGAAGCTCAATTTGAAAGAGAGGGAGTACTCTAGTGATTACTAATCTTATGTCCACTACAACCTTGTCTGTAAAATACTTCACTGCACCAGTTATACAGATACAGAAAGGTCACAACAAGATGCTCTCTTTCAAAAAAATCCTTGACGAGTAGCTAGCATCACCTCAGCTATTGTTTGCGAGCCCGATAGCATTCTTGCAAGGATTTTAAATCATCATTGCCTTTGCTGCTTTGAAAAATTTTAAGGCGCAAACAAAATTTTCTTTTCTGAATGGGATTTGGCAGAATCTTTTGTTACTAGACTGCTACTAGCGGTTTTAAAAAATATTTGATCAGAAATATTCGTCCATGATTCGGGCTGATCCAAAATGGATATCCGATCTGATATTTTAGCTTTCAGATATTTCGGATTAGATATCCAAAAAAAATTGGACATTTCATATTCAACTTTTTATTACCCCTTTCAAGTTTTTATTTTTATGCCATATATTCAAGCTTTGTTTTATTTTGATGTACGGAGTATTAAAATTTTTTAGGCAACCTTAACCGTCCTTTTTTTGTTCAAGTGAAACTACCAAGTAGTTTCATGTTTTTAAATAATAAATTCCCTTGGTTCCATGCTCCAGTGAAACTCCTCAACCCCGGGTAAACTCCTCAACCCCCCTAACCCCCTAACCCCCGATAAACTCCTCAACCCCGCTCCGACCCGAACACACACCCTTCACCCTTTTCAATTGTACCCCAACACTTGATGCTGAGAAGAAGATACTGCAGCACTGTTACAGTAACAGATCATAGACAAAGCGCTATAACATCTTCTCTATCACAAGCACACACGCAAAATATAAAGTAAAAGAAGTAAACAACACACAAGAATTGTTTACGTAGTTTGGAGCAACTATCCTACGTCTGAGGGGCCCACATCAGTGTAAGAAAAATTGTTTACGAAGTCCAGAGCAACTCTACTACCTCTCCACGGCACCTTCTCAAAAATCTTCTCCAAAGATGTAGATTCTAGTACACCTTCAAACAATGATTTTGCCTTTCTCCACAAAAATTTATAGGCTGATCCGAAGCTCATAAATCAAGATTGAATCGTTGATATTTGATCTCCATTATTCAGATTGTAGCTCCACAACTCCTTAGACACCTCCTAAAATTTCAGCACGATCAGACAAGATTTGGTACTCAGATCATTGACAAAACCAGAGTTACGTTTTCTGCAAAAAATCAACGGTACCTTTGCCTTGTTACTATTATAACTTAGCCGGTTCATCAGCATTTCTACTTTCCAGTTCTCTTGCACGGATCATTATTGGGATGAGAGTTTTCAATATTAAGCATATATTGTGTTGCCGTACGGCTCAAGCACAAAGGCCGAATCCCACTAGGATTCGGTTTACCTTATTTGCTTAAACTTCCTTGTTTCCTTGTATGCTTTAGTTTCCTAGTTAGAGTTTATTTCTTTTCCCAGTTGGAGTTGGTTTCTTCCCTTCTATAAATAAGGGAGAGGTCTCTTTGTATGGGGGAAAATTCAGAACAACAGAATATACAAAACTATTTTCTCTCAATTGTTTGTTAACATATTGACTATTCAAGAATGATGTGGTAGTTTTGTATACATCCCTATATTTATTAATATTTCTTATGCTCTGTTTGGCTAAAATTCTAGAAATGGTAGCTAGTTTTTTTGTGTAGTCACTCAACTCAACTTATTGTATTTGAGACAGCTTAGCTTAACTTATTGTATTTCAAATAGCTCTATTAACTTTAGATGCTTTAAATGGTATTTAGTATTCACCAAGCACGACTTTAAATATTTAATAGTCAAATAAGTTCATTGTGCCTAGGGTGTTCATCGGGTCAAACCTGCACCGGGACCGAATAAGAGGCATTTTGTGCATTGAGGACCGGACCGATTAAGGTAAGCACTGGTCGAGACCAGATCGGTGAAACTCAGATTGGGAACGGACTGAATAAATGTGATTTTTTTTAAATTTGATTTTATTTATTTAATTTAAAGTATTCAATTGTATAAAAATATAACTATAATTAATTTTAAAGATGTAACATAAACTAAACATTGTCAAACATTGTTGTTCTAAATTTTTTTAAAAACTTAAAATAAAATATATACATCCTTCATCCGTATTACTTAAAATTTGTTTGTAGTTTTTATTTTACATTGGAAATATTCTTTTTTTACTACTCCGTATATTTTTGTTTTTTTGTAAATTGTTTTTTGTGTTTTTGGTTTAATTTGACAAACAAATACATTTTTAATATTTTTGTTCATGAGGTTGTTTACATTGTTTTTTTGTTGATTAGAGTTTCATTATTGATAAAATACAAACTTAAGTAATAGTATTGGTACATAAATTTAAAATGTATTAGATCGCTAATATAAAGGGCAATATTTACTTTTTCACACTTATTAAATATATTAAAAAATTATTAAAATTGATATCTTTTATTGAATTGGAATATATTAAATAATAAAATCAAAACATTTATGAAACTTTGACTATTAAAATTAAATTAATTTTAAGCATAAGAAAAAATTTTAAAAAATTATATTATAAAACTATATTGTACTACGTAACAATTATTTTTTTAAAAAAATAAAATGTAACTGGTCCACCGGTGCGTATTGAAACCCAATGGACTGGACTAGACAGGAACCCGAATAAGGAAAAAATAAGGACTGAAGACTAGACCGATTAAGGACCGGTGTTGTCTGGTTTTGGCCGAGTTTCGGAACAGTCTGGATCCGGACCGAATAATTCACGCCTCTAATTGTGTCTCTTCTATTTGCCAAGCATAGCCTTTGTCCATCAAAATGAAGCAAAACTCACTTGATTCCCATTTTCCTAAAGACAAGCTCGCAGTGAGAAAAAGTCTTCCCCTTACCTTTGTCTCCCCAGATATTCAAGATAGAGGAACCTACAAAAAAGGTTCGTGAAAACCATCTATTACCGAATTATTTACTCCACACTCATTTTCGAAATTACACATGTGACAAGCTAAACCAATTTCAGTGAGAAATTAGCTTTCATGTATTTTATGTACTTTATTGGCTTGGTTCGTATAGCATTGGGACCAATGTAATGGGATAACTCGGGAGTCTTGCGGTGCTTCGTTTAAAAAATTGATGGTTCTTACTTTTTACCTTTCCTAACACCTCCTCCCTGCCCGACCCCGACCATCCTTACCTCCTTCAATTGAACCCCACAAATCTAAACCACAAATTTCGTGCAAGTGAAAGTAGGAAGCTCAATTTGAAAGAGAGGGAGTACTCTAGTGATTACTAATCTTATGTCCACTACAACTTTGTCTGTAAAATACTTCACTGCACCAGTTATGAAAGGTCACACCTCAGCTATTGTTTGCGAGCCCGATAGCATTGTTGCAAGGATTTTAAATCATCATTGCCTTTGCTGCTTTGAAAAATTTTAAGGCGCAAACAAAATTTTCTTTTCTGAATGGGATTTGGCAGAATCTTTTGTCACTAGACTGCTACTAGCGGTTTTAAAAAATATTTGATCAGAAATATTCGTCCATGATTCGGGCCGATCCAAAATGGATATCCGATATGATATTTTAGCTTTCAGATATTTCAGATTGGATATCCAAAAAAATTTGGATTGAATATGGAATACATACTCTGTAATAATAATAATAATAATAATAATAATAATAATAATAATAATAATAATAATAATAATAAAGAAGGAAAAAGGAAAGTCCCTCTAAAGTAATTGTTTGGATATTTAAGGGTACCCTGGAGTATATTTTTAAAAAAGATGGGACGTGGAGGTTCTTTTTGCAAAATTGGAAGTACTTAAAAAATAACAATGTAAATGAATAATTACTTAACAGCAATTTAGACGTCTTTGCAAGAGCCTTTGCATGATTTTATGCTACAGTAGTCTGGCAAATACTCCGTATATGGCAGCCACATCTTGTTTCTTATTCATCCAAAGAGATCAAATTTCCACCAATTCTTCATAACTTCCAATTTTCCCATGTATTTGCGCCATCCATTTGCTTTTCTTATCATTCGGTTTTCAACAAGTTTTTCCGCTGGATCTTTTATCTTTACCCGGGATCGAAATTAGTCAAATGGCTTGGCACAAAACCGTCTATAATTAACAGCTCCAATCTCCTTTCTTTGCGCTGTGATCCGTCCTGGTGGCAAAGGTCACTCAAAACAAACAGAGCTAGGGACTTCAAGCATGACTGAACTGCACCCAGGCAGCTTTTCGGACCCTTTATTTGACAAGGAAAATCTCGTGTGTTCGGCTTCTTCCCACTGTTCAGAGGCAGCATAAATGTTGGAGAGTGACACATAATGGACATCGTCGCAAGAGTGGCTCCTACAGTTCATTTCTTTGATCTCTTCAAGCACATGTTCTGCCATGTCCATGTTGCAGTGAGTTCGGCATGCCCCTAGTAGAGAGCCCAAAACCGTGTCGTTTGGGCTCAGAGGCATCACCTTGATCAAATCAAGAGCCTCCTCTAGTTTTCCAGCCCTTCCTAAAAGGTCAACTAAACAACCATAGTGCTTGATGTTTGCCACCAACCCCATCGTCTCCATTTTATAGAAAATCTTCATACCTTCGTCTACGAACCCACCATGCGCACACACTGTCAGAACTGAAAGGAATGTTATCTCGTTAGGAGTCACACCGGGAGAGTTGACCATTCGTGTGAAAAAGTCAATAGCCTTCTTAGGCTGTCCATGAATGGCAAAAGCAGAGATCATTGAGTTCCATGCAGCATCATTTTTATGCGGCATTCCTTCAAAGATCAGTCTCGCATTCCTCAAATCGCCACACTTGGCATACATGTCAACCAACCCATTCAGTGTTGGTTAATTCCAGTCTAGAATATAGTTTAAATTTAAAAATAAATAAGTAAAAAAAAGGCACAGTCAGGTAGTTAGGCAGTTACTAGTTACAGTTTTATGACAGTTTCCAACAGATGTGTTGGTTAGTAACTGTTGTGTCTATTTGTAATGGTTGTGTTGTTTAGCCCTCTATTTATATGTATGGACACATTGTTCTGGACAGCAGTTCCACAATAATAAAATACTCTGATTTTCTCTCAATCTCCAGATCTGTCTTTCTGTCATTATTTCTGTCATTCAGAACAAACCGGTTCAGCTTAACACCCTTCTGAATGATCATCTCGTGTATTTCCTTGCCGACGTCCAATGAAGCCAGCTGAGCAGATGCCGATAAAGCACTGACCATTGTAACCTCATCGGGTTCGAAACCTTCATCTTGCATTCTTTTAAAGCCCCCCCAAAGCTTCCTTGTACATCCCATTTTGGGTATATCCAGAAACAAGTGAATTCCAAACTACCAAATTCTTTGAAGTCGTCATCTCAAAAATGGCTTCAGCATTCTTATCATCACCCTTCTTGAAATACCCTGATATCATCGACGACCAGGCATAAAAGTTCCTTCTCGGCATCCCCTCAAACACTTCCCTTGCAGTATCCATGTCCCCACTGCTGGCATAACCATCGACCATCACAGTCCACGTCACCACATTTCTCAGCTCATTCGGAACCTTATCAAAGAAGAGCTTTGCCATCACTACATCGCCATTTCTCCAAAAGCCATGGATCATTTCATTCCAAGTTACACAGCTTCTCTCCGACATTCTCTCAAACAGCAGGAGTGCAGAACCTGTATCCCCATTTGTTGGAGACAGAAGAAGGAAGCCGGATCGAAGAAGGAAATTGAATCCCTTTGGGATTCGGTTTAGCATCTTTCCTAGTTTGTTTATATCTTGTTTTAGTAGGAATAGAAGTTTACTTATATGCTTTACTCTCTCCCTATATAAAGGGGGTTAGGCTTTTGTAATCACAAGCCAATTCAATATACAGAAATATTTTCCCTCTTGTTATTTTCTACATGGTATCAGAACAGGTTTTGAATTCTTGAGACATCAAACACGCTTCTTCTCCTGCCGGTGGGCATACACAATTCAATGCCTACCGGCGGGATATTGCAATTTTTGATTTTCTTTGATTGTTATCCCTCACTAAAGAATATCATGAACTTCTTCAACGAAAAACATTGCTGTAGAAGAACCCCGCCCAACCATCAATCTTGAAGAGTTTGTCCGAGAAGGGTTGTTCTACAGACACAGACAACTCTTTCCTTAGCATGCAGTAAAAAAAAAAGTCGGCGTTCAGGGTGTTCGAAAAGAATGGCGTTCCCCCTGTTTGTTCGAAAACGGTGAAGATTCGAAAAGAATGGCGTTCCTTTACTCAAGTGATTATTCGGCGGATTCGAAAAGTTTGGCGTCTCCGTTGAAGAAAAAACTAAAGTGTCTAGATGACACTTGGACAATGATGGTAGCGGCTTCCTCAAGCTTTGTTGCTTTGTTCAATCTTTTGATGTCCAAGCTGGGCATGTTGAACTCTCATGCTCCAGCTTGAGGGGGGGTGTTGGAGACAGAAGAAGAAAGCCGGATCGAAGAAGGAAATTGAATCCCTTTGGGATTTGGTTTAGTATCTTTCCTAGTTTCTTTATTTCTTGTTTTAGTAGGAATAGAAGTTTACTTATACGCTTTGCTCTCTCCCTATATAAAGGGGGTTAGACTTTTGTAATCACAAGCCAATTCAATATACAGAAATATTTTCCCTCTTGTTATTTTCTACACCATTCTTCATGTACCCACATCATTCGACGTGATAACTTATCTGTGGGGCATATGATCAAACACCTTGCAGGCACTCGCAATATCACCACATTTACCATACATGTCAACCAATGAAGTGCCCACCATAACATCGAATTCCACCCCCTGACTTTACACACTCGGCATGTAAAGCATTGCCAAGAACAACATCAGAGAGTGAGGCACAAGACTTCAGCACCAGAGGAACGGCACCTAATAACACAGAGTTTCCTGCAAATCGGCTTCGGGCATAGAGCAAAATGGCTTCCTCATACTTTTTTTGGGATACACAGTTCCAAAATTGATACGACCAGTCTGATGATGGTGGGTTCGGAAGATGGTTTTGATTGGGAAGATGGTGCTGTGATGCTCCTGGGGGGAGGCTTAGGTGTTGGAGAGTCGAAAGTTTTTTCTGCGGCAGATTTAGGGGCCCAGTGATAATCAAAACCAATCTTGGGCTCAAAGCTGTTCGGAGCTTCATTCCCACCAGCCGCGTCGGGAGAGATTTAAACCGGATTTCTTCAGCCGGAGGGACTGGAATGGACTGCACCACCCGTGGGAGAAAAAAGCTACGATTTGAATTTCGCGCGATTCGGTGGGGGGGGATGAGGTGAGATTGACTGTCTAAAGATTGGGGAACGTGATCCAGGTTGAATTCAAAATAGAAGAATGCTAAAAATCCCCCACTTTTGCTGCCATTCATGCCCCCTACATAAACATATGGTAGGGAGGCAAGAAAAATAAAATTAGAGGGTGGAGAGAGAATGAATGGAGATAAATATGTGGTGGAGAAATGAGTAGAGACAAAGTTGGTAGCAAGGGTGGAGGTGTGTAGCATAGTCCTTCCAAAAAAGCCAAAGAATTTCCAATTAGTAATAAAGAAAGTCGGCAATTTGCTTTGAGAAAAAAAAAGAAGTCATGTGTCATTCCCTCTTCCCTTATTTCATCCATTCTTTCCTTATTCAATTAAACCATTCAATTATATTATTAAATTACCTAACCCCTTTCTCCTTTGGGTTTTTCTCTCATGGCTTCTTATTTCAAAGGGCATGGATGCCCTTCCATTTAAATAGTGACATGTGGATAAATAATAATGAGAGTTAAATGTGTTCCATGAAGTTTTAAATGACACGCAACACTCTTTTCAATTATTTAATCCACCATTTATTCTTTTTCACTTCTTTAACAAATCACTCAAAATAGAAAAAAATACTTATTTCCAAAATATTACATTTATCCCAAAATATTTTTTTATTTTTGTACTATAACAATTTTGATATTTTCTTTATGTTTTACTCATAATTTAGTTTCTATTAATACTTCAAAAATATAATCTGGCCATCTCAATCAAGATTTAAATATATTTAATTACTACGTTTGTCTATAAGTATTTGCATAATTTTAACTTTTTACAATGAAAATAGATAAACTTTAAATGTTAATTAAATAAAATTTATATCACATATTTATTTAATAATAATTTTTTAAATAGATTTATCTTGTAAATATTTTTTATATATTATTTTATCTAATTAATATACCAAATAAATTTTTATTAACGATTCTGGTTGACTTGAAAAAATCAAAGTTGAACAAATACTCTGTAACGCCACAAAATATGGCCTAAAATTTATTATAAAACAAAAGTAATTTTTGTCCAATAAGAAATATTTATACGTTTGACCAAAAAATAAATGGATTTTCAAAATAATGACTTTTGTTAAAAAGTTATTTTTATGGATATGTCTCGAAGAGACGAATCCAACTGTACATTTTATGAACCAATCTGATTTATAGATTTCAAGTTATGTCAATTTTAAATATTAAAATTTGTAACTTTGACCCATAAAATAAACTCAATTCAAAAGTGATTTCATCAGATTAGAAATCATAATCTTTGACACTTGACAACACCATATTTATCATTTGGACTTAATTCGTATATTTTATCTCATTCATATTATTAAATTAATATATCACTGAGACCGACCCGGACACTCAGAAAAATAAAAGTTCTCAGAAAAATATTTTGATTATGTCAAAATTCTAGTTTTGATAGTCTCATTCCGAAAACGCGATTCGTTTTCAAAACAGAACAGTTTGGGCGAAAAAGCGCGTACCGCTTTAGCCAGTTTATCAGTTACAGAGTAGGAGAATATTTTAATTCCGGGATAAGGACCAAATTAAGAGTAAAACATATGACATATTCTCAAAATAGGAGTTGAAACATAAACTCCTCTAAATAGGAGTAATTAAGTTCATTAATATAATCTTCTCACACACAGTCCATTTTTTCCCTCGATCATACAAAGTACAATACCATATCTCCATCTCCATTCTATCTTCCCTTGATTTATGATTTTCTTTATTTTTCTAGCCTAATTTAATCAATAAACCTTTTTTTTCAGATTCTAACTTGAAGTATCAACGCAAACATGTTTTAGTAAAAATACCAGACATTCAACAGTTTCTTTCTCATAACATGACATGCATGAAGTTTAAATATTTTTTGCCTTTAGTGTACGTGCATCAAGAACAGAATTTCCAAACTTGTTCAGGGCAGTACAAGTATACCCTATGTTTAAGGGAACAGTAGAAATATACTAGCTGTATACCCTTACTAATGAACAATGCTATAAAACTCGTGTATAAAATTCAAAGGTTTTTTGTTTTTCAATGTTTTTTGCTTTCTTTGTGAATCTACCTTGCTATGGGTGCCTCGATTTGTAATGTAGAGAGCTGAGATCAAGCTCAAATATAGTAGAGAGGCCACTATCGAGACGATACTTACACAGTGATATATAAAGCCATACATGCGAATGCATAGTATTAAACAAAGGAAGTATACCAAACATGACAATGTATAATGCCATACTTGGCAATGTATAATGATAGATATGACATTGTATAATGCTACATATCACACATGTTAATTATATGTTGGCATTAGCCTATGTCGATGCCTTTGTCATCTCTACATATTTTCAAGTTCCAACCGATGTTATACTCTCCTTCTTGTTAGCTTTGCCTTTTATGGGGTTGTGTTTCTTTTGAGAGTAGCCTTTGTTAGCCGGCATAGAGAAAAAGCTCGTGGGATTAGGTAGTATTCAGTCGCACAAGGAATGAGGGGCCTCTTGTTTCATATTCTAATTTGCGAAGAGAATCAATAGTTTTTTTACCAGAATCCACCATTTTTGTCATTGATTTTTTGCCTTCACCGCCGATATCATGACTCTCTACCATTGTCTCCAACAGCATAACCACAATTTGCATTGTTGATATCACAGTAACACATTAACTATCAAATATAGTGTCAAAAAAACATAATGTCAAATATTGCACCATATAGTGTCACTAATGACAATTTATAATGTCACAAATGCCCATATGTAATGTTTTAGATGCAAATTGACACAGTCACACAAAGGTAAATATGGGTAGATAATTGTAGTCTAAAAGCTTTTTTAATCGATATGTGCATTCCAAATCAATAATAAAAAATTAATAAACTAAGTCATTTATAGGGGGGACAAAAATGTGTTCTTGATTTGCTAAAATTATAGCCAAAATATACCCAAACAGCACACACAATTGATAGATGATGGATATAAAAATCACAAAAAAAAAGAAAGGTTTTTGGAAGGGGAATTTCGTCGAATACCTTTTGGGCGTCAAACACATCAATCAAAACAGACAGGAGAAAAGAGGCGTTTCTCTGCTGGACTGAACAAGAAAGGAGAGATTTTGGGATACTGAGATTGAGAAACGCAAGGAAACTTATAGCCATATCTTCGTTAGCAATAATAAAGCCCCAAACAATAAACCCAATTCAAAAGATATACGCGAATGGAAAATGGAAGGGCAACGAGGGAGAGGGGAGATGGCGGAAGGAGGAGGCGGTGATCGTGACAGAGGGTCGATGGCGATGGTAACTTTGGACTTAGGATAGCATCACTTAATACATGATTAATTACTCCTATTTAGAGGAGTTTAAGTTTGAGCTCCTATTTTGAAGACATGATATATGTTTTACTCCTATTTAGAGGGTTTTCTTTTTAATTCCCCAAAGTCTCCCAATTACGCAGCCCTATCC